GCAATGAGCTTGGTAACTGGCATCAGGCGTCATACATCTGCCAACATATTCCTCAAATATGACCTAGCACATGGGAAGGGCTCTGCATCCTGAGTTAATCGTATGAACGCCTTCATGAATTCCTTGGAGAAGAGTCATTCAGTAGCTAGTAGTCGCTCAGTTAGTCAAGAATGTTACTTTCTCTATTTCATAAATGTATCCTGCGAACGACCACAGTCTGCAGTTCCCGATTTTCGCAACTTAACTGGTTCCGCATCTCTGAGAAGGAAATGGCAGTATGGCCTTCATGTCACGTTACTGATCTCAGTTCCGGTTTGTTTCGGCTGAAATTAAACTCCCATTTTGAATGTACGGTTGTGATTACCAGCTTTGGGGCAGTAGATGTTGACGCAGAATGCTCTATTCGTTCTATCAACCAGCTACTAATTCTGTTAGCCGTAACAGGATGCCTTATTTGGACAGAAATAAATGGTGCGTTGGGATTGTTCGGAAGACTACGTTAATATTTTTAAAAATTCTGCGACCATGTACAGGGGCGTCATTAAGGCATAGGCGAAGTGGGCCATGACGTGCAGGTGTCTAGCATGAGAGGATGGAGGGCCCCTGAGGCTTTTAAGTGCAACGAAAGCAACGTGCTTTCCACTCCCTGACTTCAGTATTTCTAATAAATAGTAAGGCGTCTAATACACACACACTCCACCATATTTTCCAGTGTCCTTGAGCCCCGCATTGAGCGTTTGCCTATGGCCTTGTATGTGTAAAAGCAGACATTGAATTGTTTCATTCATTATTGTACTGTGGAAGGCAAACAAGTCGATTTTGAAACCGTATGTCCGGATTGAACCCTGTGTGCAGGCGGGTTAGAATACCTCCACTGTAGCATTGCGAAAGGGAACCTTGTACCCGGGGATATAACTAGGCCACCCTGTCACTGGGGGGGACGATAAATGCAGAGGCATGACCCCTCAGACTGGGGGTTGGACGCAAGGCTGACGAACTGACTGTGTAAAAAAATACCGTTGGGAAGTCCAAAGATGTGTAAACCGGCTGGTCTAATTTAATAGATAAATCTGGCGGAATCTTCTAAGGAAGGGCGTGGCCCAAAGAGGGCTGATTTGCCAATGATGATGATGATGATATCGCGATTGAATTGTTTGTTTCCGTAGTGACAGTAGAATTCCGAGACAATGCTTTAAAATGTGTTTGTGCCAGTCCCTTATCAAATCTTCCTTCACTGTAGTGAATTTTGAAGCTAAAAGAATTGCAGTAAGATGCAGGAGCAACACTTCTCAAATACAATTGAAGACACAGAAAATATGGGAGCTGTGTATCTGTGCACGCACAGTCAACCAAACTTATTACAACGTTTCAGTAGAATGAATGGAAGTGTTTGCGACCTCTGAACACTAAATCTATAGTCACTAACGTGACTGCTTATAAAGTAAGCTTACATGTTGTTCAAGAGCCGTAAATGTTCATGGATCGGTGAATGTCCCTGTGCTGGTCACACCGTAGTGTGATGGTGCTGTAGCAATTACAGGATATACTTTTTTTTTTATACGCAATCACTGTGTGCGCCTCAGGTCGTGAAAGTCATTTTAGTGCAGCAAGTGGCTCATAGATGGCGTAAGGATACGCTGACTTGTCCGTGGACTACACGCTTATGTTGCTTTCTGTTGACTGTTGTCTCGTGCGGTTTCTGAACCACGGACTGATGAAACTAGTGCATTTCCCATGATCCGGTAATCTATACGTCTCAGACTTAGAATTAATATTGTACTCTACAAATCGAGATATTATTAGCACATCAAAATGCCTGTTTAAAGCATAATCATGTGAACTCGAAGAATATTTAGTTATCAGTGCTCCGCCCTTCACAATTATGCACGAAGTCATGTGGAATAATATTGTATTTTGAGCATCCTGTTGCATTAATATATCATTTATTTCACATATATTTCCGTCTTAAATGCAACTTATTATATAGTCACCCTTCTTCCACAGTAAATGGTTCGGATATATATGGCCATCATCAGGTGTCTTCTGTCTTGCTAAAATTGTTGCACTGTATGTCAACATTTCCTGTCGCGTGTGAACTCGATATTTCATGATTAAAATAAATTTACCTTAATTAAAACAAATTAATTAACATCCCAATATTTTCCTTGTGGTCGTCGTCCTTTCTTCTCACGCCGTCTCAGCTGGTCTCAACTACCGCCATATTATGACAGGATCAGTATTACTATCTTCCGTTGCAGAAGGTAGTTGCACGAAAGTAAAAAATACAATCATGCATTACGAAGGACGAACATACCCACTTGAGATCGCTTAAGATGATATGCGCAACTAGTCAAGAATAAGTTTCCTCAGTATGCACCTGCAAATCTGGAAACCAGTTGCCTGCTTGGAATCAGAGACATTTCTCGGAAATTGCGGTTGCGTTGCGGTTGCCAGTTTCCTTGGTGTGCCCTCGCCATAATATTTCATTTCGAATGGGACGTGAACGTCTAATAGTTTTTAAAACCCAAGTGTGATCCTTGTTACAATAGTCCACAGACTGTGGCCGCCACAGCACATGGAACTAAGAAACATCCAAGACATTACACATCGCTGACAACGACAGCACAGCAACCAAGTTAACACAACAAAGAGGAATAGCAAGAAAAAGTACCTATACACAATTTTAAAATTATTTTAACATTTATTGCATTTACAAGACTGTATTACGTATGTATATGAAGTGCATATGGAATAATTGCCACAGAAGCCTATATTCGCCTCTGAAGAATCTAGGTTTGCAATTTTTTACGTTGCTTTCCACCAACATAGCCTGTGTACAGTTATATTATACGTCAAAAGTTTACAACATATTTCTGTCGTTGGGCAATAACCAGGCGTTGTACATGCACTTCTGACTTACCCGCTGTGACGGTGGGGTTTTTGTAAGATGGCTCTATGCCTTCGCCACAATTTTACGCAAATCGACCGATATATCTCCCAGTCGCAACATAAAACTTCGAGAGAGGGAGGAAGAGGAGTAAGAAGTTCAAAACGAATCGTAGACGAATCATTTAGCCACTAAGAAGAAAAGGAAAATGAAAAATATATCCAGTTGTAAAACGGTAGTGTGCCTAGTTGTGGTAAAAATATAGCCACTAACTTGATTCCGGTATTAATTAACCCTTTAAAGACTGGTCGGTCGGTCGGTTTTTCTAAATAATATATACAAATTCAGTCCGTACGTCACAGGAAACACATTACATCTCCGCTTCAAATATCAAGAAAAGATGCAAGAAAGATGCATAACCGAGGCATAATCTGCTCTGCAAAGCCTGTAATGACAGAGAACTAGTATATGGCGCAAAAGGAATAATTATTAATATTATATGTGCGGCTTGTACACTTGACGTAAGGCCAAGCATATTCATAAGCGATAAACCCATCTTGTCCTAGCGGATGTTACATAAGGACTATTACCGCAAGGGTTCAGCTGAAAAAAATCTGGTCGTGAGTCCCAAGGTGCTTGTCGCCAAGACGAACTGATTGGCGGTAAACCGCAAGTCGTAAAGTAACTTTGACTTTTGACTTCGACTGTTTAAGGACGCAGTCTGTTTATTCTGAAATATACACGAAACACGTTGTGGGCAGAATGCTGCGTTTCAATGTGTTAAAAAAGCAGGTGGTACATGTAGTGACCGCTGGGCTCTAACGGGTAAATGGGAGGCGATATATTTGATAGGTTCGCAGATATGGATGGCGTTACGGACTGGTTCTGATGAATGCTGATTTATGGGAAATGATGATTGAAGGTCGGATGACGTAACGTAATATTTAAGAAAGGTTTAATTTATTGTAAATAAATTATTAGCAGGAAATAATGAATTGTAATGTTTTTTATTTTAAGATTGGGGAACTTATGTTTTAAAGAAGTTGATAAAGGGAGAGAAAAGGAAAGAAGCAGAGAGTGATCTAGTAAGAATAAATATGGTGCGAATGAAGTGGGTATATAAACGGAATGTTTTGAAGCGTAGATCTGATGAAGATGTGGAGCCCATCCGATAAAAATGTTGGTTTTACGTGGGAGGGTCCTGTTATATTACAGAACCTGAACTGTACTAAGGATGTGATTCTCAGAATAAACGGAAATTGTTTCTGTAGGCAACATGAATTAATTGGGTAGACTTGAAAGGATTCTGACGATGGTGTATACTGTACTTCTTTTGGCTTATTTTGAACTTCACCCATCGTCTGGTATGTAAAAGACAAAAAACCACGACGTTTCGGAGACTGGATGTCTCCGTCTTCAGGTGGATAGGGAAGGTCACTGGACCAGTGATTGAGACTAGCTCTTTCTAAGGGGCCCAACTGAGTAGGTTTATCCTTCCCTATCCACCTGAAGACGGAGACAGATCCAGTCTCCGAAACGTCGTGGTTTTTTGTCTTTTACATACCAGACGATGGGTGAAGTTCAAAATAAGCCAAAAGAAGTACATGAATTAATTGGTCTTTTTAATGTATGCAGACTTCTTTTTCACGAGATAGGGACTGACATTTTAAATAAGCATCTTAATTAGGTGAACTTTCTTCAGTGGGTTAAGGGGTCGCATTTTCAACACCTTTTCATAACTTGGAAATCATTAAAATTAATTCCCTCATATTTGTAAGATGCGGTGAACATTCAGTAGACCCTAATGATGAATGTGTCTCAGGTGTTAAAATTAATTACTTTCTTATTTAAGAATATATATATAAGAACCCATGTTACTATTCATGGCCTGCTGGGGGAGGGGGGATAGTATTATTCTCAATTCTCCTGGCATAATAACGTCTGAAAATTAACAAGTATGGCAGGGCATGTAGCACCCCATTTCATGGAAATCCATCCAACCTCTTCGAAGATACATCGGACGGAAGAATGCCTCTTCCCCTGCATGTACTTACCTTGTCCACACAGCACATAAGAACAACGTGTAGAACTAATATATTTTCTTTTGTTTCAGGTTTCGTTTGTGTGTTCGCATCGCCGCCATGTTTTGCCATTCGTGATGACGTTCTTTATCTGACGGAGTCGGCTGTTTTTATTTTGTTGCTGCTTCTTTATATGTAATAAATTACGTAATTTATATATGGATATTATTTCTATCGACCCTATAACTGAAATACGTCCGAAACAAGCGATAATACCGATAAAATGAGTTCGTCTGGACTACCGAAACCTTCAGGGTTAAAACCACCCACTAAAATCAGCAGGCCATGCACAGTCACACCAAAACCAGGTCTTCCATTAGCTGCTACTCCGTCTGCCAGAGCCAGTGAGTACTCTGCTTATGCATTGCTGTTGCGCTTTCAGTATGTACTTTTGATGTGAACTTGTGATTTATAGCAATTATTCTATTTATTAACATTAATTTATGGTAGCATGTGTTAGGCGATGTTCCGGATATCATGGTATAGAGCACAGCGGAACAACAATGAAATTAACAGGATCGAATTTTGCAAATGCTTTCCCGAAATTGTACGTGTATCTCTCCTCGGTTTGCAATGAGAACAACTTTACGCCGTAAGTTGCTGTTAGTTACACGCATCGCTATGCATGCTTACCGTTTTTGTGACACTTTGTGGTGGAACTAGTCATAGGCCCGTAATGTGCGAACACCGTATATACCGGGTGTCCCAAAAATCATCAATCAGTAAAATATACACTAAAATACGTCAGAAATTCTCTATTACTCATTGATTTTAATAAAAATTGTTCGAAACGAGGTCCTCCATATACAGTGCACAACTCACAACTCCATGACACCGCTCTGCAGATTCACTGGCAAGTTTAAATCTGAACATTCCCCTTAATATTAGAGAATGTTCAGGTTAACTGACTTTTGCGCCGCAGTGTATACCAGATTTTTACCCTCCCCGGTTCCATTTAGTTGTGTAAAACTTTCGAATGTCGCTTTCTTCGAATCGTTTTGAGAACTTCATTGATTTCAGTTGTACGGTACGTGCGTTGTATTGTGTGTGTACATACATACGCTGCAATGATACGTATGTCTATCTACTGTGCCCCAGGAGATGTAGAAATTTGTTCCAATCTGTACGAAATTGTAATAGGTCGAGAATTCTTTGAGAAGGGAGCAGTGAAGGTGGGGCATCTAAACCATAAAACCAAGGCCTCATGAGCGGGTCGCCCAGAATATCCGACATCCTCTCGCTAAGTGAAGAAGCATTTAACAGTGTTTTGTGGATCTTGAGTCCATCAGTACGAATGACGGGACGAAGCGTTTTAATATAACGCAAGTAAGAAGCACGTCTGTCTGCAGGTTGACGTAATCAGGAAACATACATGTCTCGTACAGTGTAAGATGCAAGTTGAGATCGAAACGTAGAAAATATAATCGCACAGACTGTATTGTCACGTATCCGGGGTTTGCGTGACGAATGAGACTGGTTTTACATTTGTTGATGGAATTTATTGGAACTTTATACAACTGGTTACAACAGTTCACAAATCACTGTCTGACAGCCATCTTCCTCCTGCTGGATACCCCAGTGGAATTATTATACTCGTTTGAACCGTCAGTTCAAGTCAAGTCAGAGTCACATTGCGACTGACGGTCAGCCAGTCAGTCAGTCAGTCAGTCTTGGTGTCGAGCCCAGTCTGAGGCTTATGACCAGATATTTATTACTGTTTGGCAGTTTCGGTCTTGTTTTTGTGGGGCGCCCTCTCTGACAAGAGGACTGTCTGTCTTTTGTCAGAGTCATTGTCTGCCATAGTAGTTAGTTAGTTATTGGAGAGGGTGGGTTTCCCCATGCACTTAGACCTGTATTGGTCCATTGTGCTTCCCTCTATGATTTCTACCAGTCTCTATATCCTACCGGTATTGGTGCTTACCATAAGTCCCGCCCAGCCAGCGAGACCGGCTCTACTAGCTGAGAGGTATCTATAATGCTTCCCCCATCTACCAGAGGTATTAGTGACTGCTGTTGGGCGGGAAACGTCCGCAATTTTGGCTCAGTGACCTCCTTTGGAGGTATGAGGTTCTTTTACGTGCCGTAAAGCTACGACACGGGACCCACGGCTTAAAGTCCCTCCGGGAGGACTTGTTCCCTGAATTTTTCCGCCCTTAAAAATTCGACGACCTCCGCCGGCTATTTGAACCCGCGTACTACGAGTCATGAGGTGGGAACGTTACCTCTAGACTACGGAGGCCGCTTGTCTGCAATAGTAAGTCATTTGTCATAATGTAAAGGTTATTTACGTTTTACATGTTAAATATGTTAGTAAATATATATAAAATATATACAGGGCCTCTGTCAGTGTAGGCCCAGTACAGCAGATTATGCCCTATTTCTAGTAGCTTCCGCTATAACTGCAGTCTAGTCACATGAACGGTTGTATGCTTCACCGACGCCAAGTTTAAGCCTCTCAGTACTTTCTGTGGGAGGCTTCGCCTTGTCGAGTATTCCGAAACTGACAATTAAAAGTCAAAGTCACATTACGACTGACGGCCAGTCAGTCAGTAAGTCTTGGTGTCGAGCACCCTCCTGGGGTCATGACGAGATATTTATTACTGTTTGACAGTTACGGTCTTGTTTTCTGTGGGCGCCCTCTCTGACGAAAGGGCGGGTCTGTCTTTTGTATATGCTGTTGGCCCTTGCCAGCGCAGTCTTTCTCGGGTCCGAGTCCGTTTGGACTCCAGACCATATTTTACTGTCTCTAATTTGAGACTTCCCTTTTCGTCGCCTCCTACGACTCGCAGGGTCACGGTGGAGGTATTCGACCCCGTCGCCACACGGGTGACTCCAAACTGACAATTATTGTATGCTTCTCATTATATGGTCTCGGGTCGGACCACAGCACAGGAAACACATCCGTTGTCTAGCACTGGATATATGCGAACCCACATAGGAAACATCTCTTGCAAAACTGATTCTGTTGTTGCGTGCGTGTCTAGAAACGCGTCTACTCTATTGTTGGTTGCGTATTTGTTGCGCGGGTTTCTTTACCGAGACGTTCCCTAACAGTGGGTCTACATGTCGCAATATTGATGCCTGGTTGAGACATGTTGCCTTTAACATATCTCCCAGAAATATTTTAGAGTGATTAACGTATTTATTTTATAAAACTATGCATAATAAGACGGAGGAACTGCGAAATTAGTATTTCCATCCCGTTTCAGGGCAAGGAGGAAGTTAGAAAGGCATCCTGTTAAACTCGAACCATACTTAATATTTACGGGCCTGAATACGTTCCCCTGAAACGTTGATGCCATCAGCCAGACTACACGGTATCACATCGTAGAAGAACATAATATTTCATGGCCGTGAGAACCTCAAATCTCGTAACTTTCTTTGTTCGTTCACTCGTAGCACAACCTTGGCAGGCTAGTTGACTGATACAACTTCTTTATTAAAACCGTCACAACACAACTATAAAAAGGTCAGTGCCAAGTTCGGCTCTGCTTGGCCGAGAACTTAACACCTAAATATGGCAGAGCCAGACTTGGCACTGACCTTAATATAGTTGTGTTGTGACGGTTTTAATAAAAAAATTGTATATTATAACACAACGGGATACATGAAATGAGAATTATAGTTGACTGATTTTATGAAGGTAAATTATTTTTTCTTCCCCTGTGTATGTTGGCTGGGCGATGGAGTGCGGAATTCGAGTCTAAAAGCGCAGTACTTTGGAGAATATTTGGACCTAAGAAGGCTGCTGTTATTATTTTAGGATATAAGCAGATTTTTTTTTAATTCGCTTAGTGGGGGGTGGAGTCCAACTGGGTCCACTCGGCACGGCGGCCACTGATTGGCCTATTGTAGCCTACCCCGGGTGATTATGATGATGGAGAATTTGGTAGAATGAAGATTGGCAGGGGAAACCGAAGTACTCGGAGAAAACCCGCCCCAGCGCCATTTTGTCCACCACTAATCCCACTTGACCAGACCAGGGATCTAACCCGGGCCGCCGTGTTGGGAAGCCAGCGACTAACCGTTTGAGCTGTGGCGCGGCCCAAGCAGAAACTTACTAATTTATGGATCTCCCCTAAGTAGTTCTGCCAGGATAGTGTGTTATGGGCTGGGCGTCTAACTAAGACAAAATGAATGCATATAGAATTTTGGTAAGGAAACCTTTGATAACGGCCACTTGGAAGACAGAGATTTTAAGCTGGATCTTATGGAACTAGGTAGTGAGGATATGAGAAGGATGGAACTGGATCAGGAACGTGTCCAGTAGCTAACTTCAGTATGGGCGACGTCGAACTTCGCATACACTTGCCACAATGTCGGTTACGGTAACTTATCGAGCTTTGTGCGTGTATCGAGGCCGCGCCATAGCTCAAGCGGTTAGTCGCTGGCTTCCCAACGCGGCGGTCCGGGTTCAAGTGGAATTTGTGGTGGACAAAGTGGCTCTGGGGCGGGTTTTCTCCGAGTACTTCGGTTTCCCATGCAAATCTTCATTCCACCAAATTCTCCATCATCATAATCACCCGGGGCAGGTACAATAGGCCAAGCAGTGGCCGCTGGACTCCACCGATACTAAGCGAATTAAAAGAAAATTGTGTGTGTATCGATACGTACGTGGCGGCTCTATCAACTGCTCACATCCCATTCTTTCAGATCCAAAAACGGAACTCCACAAACCCTCGCATTACATTCAAAACTCATTTTTAAACGAATGATAAAATCTGTATCATAAATACTCGCAATGCTATATACTCCTTTGTGATGTAACAAGTTTCGTACATTCGGCAGTATTCGCGTACTTCAGTTTCATTTCTACTTCTTCGTATTTAAGAGTCTGTCCTATTGAAATGTCCTAGCTCCATCTTTGACCAGCTTATCTCGTCCCAGGGGATTCCAGTCTTCCCTTATTTCAGGGCGGAAGTTAAACAATTTTTGCTAAATATTTGTAGACGTTTCTGTTATTTCGTTTATTTTTTTCAGCACAGTTCATAAGTGTTTGGTTAATGTCAGATATCATGCATTGAAGTTTTATCCGAAATGTAACTCCATATTGATCTCTAAAATTTTAATTTCTGGACTCTGAAGTGTTTTACTTTGTATGCCTTTTATTCTATAGTTAAGGTTACAGGTTTCATTACTTCATGTGAGAACTTAAATTGCTGCTCTTGATGTACATAATTTATACATTTTAAATTCTTTTTGTAATTGTTGTGTTATTTCTCACATTTGCTTAAGAATGTTTAAGAAGGAGGTGCTGGGGAGAGTGTTTGGACGAAAAAGTAGGAGATATCAAGACACTGGAAAAGTTGCATAATGAGAAACTTCATAATTTATAATTTCACCA